GAGGCGAGAGTGCTTCTAATTGACACCTGTTGCCATAGTGATGGTTGATCACGTATCCTGTAAGAAAAAGCTTTTTTTTTGGTCTCATTCTATTCTGCGCTGAAAGAGAGAAGTCATTCACAACTTTGAACATAACTGTCTGTGTATGGTATTCAAAACGGATGTTTGTTCCAATGGCTTTAACTTAGTAACTAACCCAACTCCATCTCATGCAGTTATTCGAATAACTGGTATGCAAATGAGCTTAAACGCTCCGAAGCTGCTCCGTGATGAACGCTATATAAATGTAAGTTGTTGTTGTCTGCAAATTAGATGCATGTAGGACTAAGACATAAGATCTAAATTGCTTAGAACTTCAATACCTGTTTTGTTTTCAACCTCAGTATGGCATCTTTTTGCAAAACCGGTTTCCGAGCATTCACCCCTTCCTTTGCTGTTCGGTGGAACTATTAATTGAACAGTTTGGTTTTCAGGTGCCATTTTCAAAGAAATATTTAGCATTGAAAATGTAACGTAATTTGTTGAAAGAGCAATAGCCTGCCAAAGGATATTTTAATTCTGAATTATTCAAAACGTATTTGATCGTTATCGCGGTGTCGTTATCAAGCCACGGTGTGGAGGCAACTGACATGGGCAAATGGTTCAGTCCCCTTCACTCTGAGCATCACAGGGATTTTGAAATTGGCTTTAGCAACTTTTGAGTTGAGATTAAAATTCAGGCAGTGTTCTTTATGCTTTTAACAGCGCTGCAGTAATAACATATAATGGATACAGCCTGACATCTTTAGCTTGGACATATATATGTAGACTCTTAAAGACCAAATCAAGCAGCTCATTTTATTCCTAGTAAATTTGGATTAAAACTAAAATTAAACTGATTTGGTGGGTTAAGTCTAGGCATTTTTATAGTTATTAAAACGTGATGAATTTTTTAAATCTTCCATTGAGGGTGAAAATCTTGCACGTACGAGGGAGAAGGGAATAGATAGATATTGGGGGATTATCCTTCTATTCCCTCATGTGTTCAAGACTTTCACCCTCATTGCAAGATTTCACCGTGGAGATATTTTATACAACCTTCTACCAGAGCACATCCACGTACGTATGTGTCCGAATGCACAATGGTTTTGTTTCTTCCTTCTTCACTATAGAGCTGCAAGCAATGCAGTAAGGAAGAAAAGATTTCAAAAATTCATCACATTTTAATAACTAACGATGCCTAGACTTAGCCCACCAAGTTTAAAGGGGAGAGGTGGAAGTTATGAACACAGGACTAATTGAAAGAATGACCTGTTCCAATATTCTATGCAGTTCTATGTAATTTTCAACTACATTTGAATTTCCTGTTTGCATTTAAAGCTATGTAACTGTAAAATATGAACTAACCACAATGATGCAAAAGACTGATGAAGATTATTCTTCCTGATGTCAGGACGTACTGATTTTTTTTTACCTTCCTTAGACATTTTAAAAAAAGGCTGTTCCTTAAATGTTTAAAGGGAAAAGAATCCATTACACTTGCTTGTGAACTTAATTTTGTGATTTTTCATTCATACCTGAACTAATTTGTGCACCCCCTGTGATGGTGTGATTTACAAAGGTATTTATTTTGACAAGTGCAAAGGATGATTGTGTAGTTAAGAAAACTGATTAAAAATGAGTCCTTGACCCATGACCATTTCAGCCTTTTAATGTATTCAGAGCATTGTAAAGTATGTACTTTTTTTTCAAAAAAATCTTCAAACTCTCCAATAATTGTAAATAAACCCATTATTTAATACTGTATGTAATGGGCATATTGATATTCCAAGGTTGTATTGGGTGGTTTATTTAAACTGTCTAAAATTTTGATTAAGTTCTGTAGGAAAGGCTTTTAATTAAATTCAAAGCGGTAGGAATCCAGAATAGAACATAGGACCAATTTAAAAATAGGATACTGAGAATGCTCCTGAGAAGTGTTAATGATAGACTTGGGAGTGCAGAGAGGATGTGTTAACTGCAGTTGTACAAGGTCAGTGTATGAAACCTTATTGTTTCTAATATACATAATCAAACAAATTTGCTGAGGAAATACAGAGATGGGAGTAACAGAACCTGAAGATGGATCAAACTGATCGCAAAACTGATTTTGATTGTTTAAACAATTGAGCAATTGTGATGAATTAATATTTTAATGTAAAATATTACACATAAGTTGTTAGTTGATTGAAGGAATGCTTTTTCAGGGGTAATAATCGTTTCAAAAAAATATATTAAAATAAAAATTTGGTCACTCAATCCACGACTGTTTGTGGGACACTGCTGCTGTACAATTGGCTGCCGAGTTACGCACACCAAATACAGTCAATTAATTTTACAATATATTCTGTAAAGGGCTTTGAGATGTCCTGAAGATGTGATAAGGCACTATATCAAACGCTATTATTATTATAACAAGACTGGTATCCAAGGATAGATCTGCAATAGAGCAAGTAGATCTAGAAAACAATCTGGGAATAAAAGTAGCCATTATTGCTTTCGATTCCTGACAATGTGAGAAAGCAATTTCACGAGTACGAGAGAATGTTGATAACGGGTCAGGGGATTAGAATTGAAGTATAGCAACATCTATCATGAAAGAAACTTTGGGAAACATCTTAATCACAGTGATGCAGCTACATATCAGAGTACACCGATTGTGCTCTGGTTCCCTCTGAGAGAACAGCACTCAGCAGTTTTAAGCAGGAAGAAAATATCCTGCTCACAACTGTTGTCGTGATTCAAGTTCAACAGTTTCCATTGGGAAATATGTACACCTGTGCCTAAGAAAGGACATGAGGCATTGTTATTTCAAGCTCCCTTAACTCATGACTTCCCCTTCCCCTGCTATACTTAGCCCTGATATTTCTTCAATGCTTTATTCCAGTGGAGGTGACCTATTTAGATATTGTCTGAATAATCCATTTGTAGATTTAGAAACCAGATGCTGATGTTGAATGTTGATATGTGGTAGGTGGTGTATCTACGACTGTTTGTGGGACATTGCTGTGCGCAATTGGCTGCCGCGTTCGCCCACAAATATACAGTCAATTCACTTTACAGTGTGTTCTGTGAAGCGCTTTGGGACGTCCTCCCGACGTGAAAAGCGCTATATCAAATGCAAGGATTATTATTATTATTATTATTATTCAAAGAATGACAACTGAACTTTGGATTATCCTCTACTTTTCTTATTAATTTCTATATATTTTGTTCGTACTCCCAAAGATTATTTGGAAATTGTTAACATTGCTGCAGGCTCAAAGGTAGCCTTTGAAAGCCCACCATTTTAGTTTTCTGTTCACATTTATTTGAGTCCTTTTGTGCCAGCAGTGTAAAAGGAGAGCTCAGATTAGCATCACTGTGGCACTAAAATTTACATCAAGGGGAGTTGCCAAGCCTTTGTGCTAAGTTTCAACACTGAAATACAATGAAGACCGAGATGCGTCCTCCAGTATGCCTACTGCTTCTTTCAACTGGAACTCAGACTATTATAGTGGATGGCAATAGATGTCTTCTAAATCTGGAGCTTCATGTCACATTCAATGGCCATAATTTGAGGTTTGTTTGACGACCTGAATTAGACTCCATTTGGGGAGCTAAGCCTTAAGCGGTTCTCTTCCTCACCCTCCCACATAAAATTCGGTCTGAGGTCCATTAAGTAGTACAGAAAGAAAAGTGGACTACGTGGGCAGTCAAAGTCTGGACAAGGACTTTAGGATGGTCAAGTGGAGTGTACTCCTCCTTTAGTCTTGGAGAGACCATAATTATCATCTCATGAATATATGTTTTAAATACTTTACCTCTTAAATAGACTGCTGATCTTAAACTTGATAATTTGGGTCTCATCCGGAAACAAAATTCCTCTGTTTTGAAAGATAATTAGTTGTCAGTCTAGTAGGCTCATCTAGTGTGAAAAATGGAATGCAGCAGTCTTTTCGATATTTAATTTTAAATATGCCTTTGTGATAGGCCTCAGATTTAATTTGCTCTTATCTTGTCACGAGACATGAAACCGGCGTTTTATTCTGAGATCTCACATTTAGTATGCAGTGAAACCGTTAAATGATTTTGTGTAATTTAGAAACTGGATTGCAAGGCAAATCCACTCATTTGGATTTTTCTTTTATGCCTATAATTTAGGTAACAAAGCCAAAATTTGTTCCAGTCTCTCTTCCATTGCACCAGGCATGTAATTGCACTTTTTTTAAAACCCTATTTGCATGTCATTCATCAAGTGACCATGATACAAAGCCTACTGATGAGTGACAAGGTAATTTATAATTTCCTTTCTGTACATATGGAGTACTCCCACACAAAGTAGGCTTAGGAATCTACTCATTATTACCAGAAACTATTTGACTCAAATGTATTTGGTATTTCTACAGTGGGATGAAGTAAATGTGGTTTTGATTTAACCCTTATAGTTTAACTGCAGCCTTGCAGACCATGATCTCGCCTTTCTCAATCTAGGAAGAGTTTTCTAGCCCCATTCGTCCTGAACCCTCCACTCTCCCACTGCTAGTTGATTGCTCGCCTCCATTGCTTTGGTCTCGACATTGGTGCCTCTTCTGAAACCTCCAAAATCTCTTAAGATTGCTCTCTCCATGTTTTTAAAACCTCTCTATGACCTTACCTTTGGTCAGCATGTTTAACTCTCCGTTTCCTTGCTTGGGGCTCTACATTTTATGTCATGCATTTTCAAGAGTAAATTGCTATGCTAGCTCTATATTTAATATGTATATGATGTACATATTTATTCTTATTGGTCCATCTTAACAAACATTGTCCATTTAAATGTTAAGTGGTTTGGGCAACATCTACAAAATTAGACACTTCACTCCGCAGACCTAATAATTTGTATTAAGAGGTCATAATATTTACCAAGGCGGGAAACAGTGCTGCTTTGCAGTTTGAAATCCACTTTAAATGACTGTTTTATTTAAGGCCTTCGTTAAAGATCAAATCTCTTTCAATTGCAGTGTAATGTGGAGGATCAGAAATGCCTTATGTGGATCGACAGAATCGTATTTGTGGATTCCTAGACATTGAAGAAATAGAGAACAGTGGAAAATTTCTGCGCCGTTACTTTATTCTGGACACTCGGGCAGATAGTTTGCTGTGGTACATGGACAATCCACAGGTTGGTATATTTATTTCATTATGGTAGTACCATTACGGATAACTATTACAGTTTGATGTTTCGATTATTTTTATGATTGTGATGATTATGCAGTCTATTATGAAAATATTTTAAATTTTAATACTTAAATATTGTTATGTATTTAAATACAGGTAATGTTTTTCTTTAATGCCACAGTGGTTATGCATGATTGCTTATCGGCTCAGGGCAAATTCTTCAATTACTTGAAGATATGTCAAGTGTCTGGCTTGAGATTACCATATTGTGTTGTAGCAGAACCTATTTATATAAACAGAAGTCATCCCTTGTATGTGCACATTGTTGAACTCTAGTTTATTTGTAACCAGGAAGGACATGTTAACCTTACAAATTTGTTCATGCAAAACAAATTTTGGAAAGGCTTGAAGAAATAATTATAAAATATTTGCTGAGTAGTTAAAATGAAGTATTTCCAGATGCAATATGATTACCTTTTTTTAAAAACACTGAAAAAGGCCGTTCTTTCATTTCATCCCCTGAGCATTGCTGCACAAACCCATTATCTGCTGGTTCAGTGTACGTAATTTAATTCTGAAAGCTCTATCATCTCATTCTAAAGTGTCTTGGTCTCCAATTCATACTCATTTGTACATTGCAAACTGCTGATTTAGTAGCTCATTGGTTCTGTGCCAACTGATTGAGGAAAGTGCTTTATACGAGAGTTTAATTCAGTAGTTTGGCACTTGAGATGCAGAAAACCTCATTTTAATGCAAGATGACTGCATTCTCTGACTTGTTCAGTAAGTGGCTGTTTTTACTTAATGTTTACCTTAATGCATCTTTCTCTATCCTCCAGAATCTGCCTTCAGGAGCATCAAATGTTGGGGCTCTTAAACTCACTTACATTTCAAAGGTAATGATCTTTTATAAAATAAGATTTTATTGATATTTGATGGAAATCTTTCCACCCCAAAAAGAATTGCGTATTCGATCAAAGTTGTTCTTTGTGTTATTCCATTTGTCTGTTTCCCAGAAAAAATAAAATATATGAAAAGTTGGTACGTTGTCCAATATCGCACATGTGGTCTACATATATAATAATCCTTGCATTTTAGTATATGTTGATAATATCAACAGCAATAACAAATTGCATTTGTATAGCGCCCTTCACGCAGGGTAGCATTCCAGAGTGCTTATCATCCACAAATAACACCACTACAAGAAGAAATTATCTCCTATAGTTTAACAATAATAATAATCCTTGCATTTAGTATTATTATTCACGTCTCAAAACGCTTCACAGAATATACTGTAAAGTGAATTGCCTGTATATTTGTGGGCGAAACGTACACAGCAGTGTCCCATAAACAATTTTGGATTACGTGACCCAATTTTTTTTTGAGAGTTTATCAATCCACCGAACAGCGATCCACCAATCGACTAACAACCAGGTACCTACTTACTGCTAGGTAAACAGAGGCACATGGAGTAAGGAAACTTGCCCAACGTTTTGCACTACCAGGGATAGAACCCAGGTCTCTCGCTCGCGAGGCGAGTGCTCTAACCACAGAGCTATAGGAATCCAGTTTGGTATAAACTTGCAGAATTTTTATTTGGGTTTATGTGTAGTCCTGGCTCAGTGTCGCTCTGAAATTGAGCAGCTTCTTTAACCATGGTAATTATGCATCAACTTGCTGAAAACGTGATGGCAATATGTTAACCGATTTTTTTTGTAAATTGATTCAAGGTTGTTCTAATGTTAATTGTACCTTACATTATTGTCTTTATCTGTCAAAACATGTCATATAACATGTAAATATTTTTGCTCAAGTGAATTCTATTTGAAATTGTTAGGTCAGTGATGCCACAAAGCAACGACCAAAGGCAGAGTACTGTTTTGGTAAGTGCCTTCTGAAACTGTGTGTCGGGGAAGTATTAGTATCTCAAACTCATTGTGGAAATGTTCCGTTTCCTGTGTCTTTTGCTATATCTGTGGTACGCTGATTATTCCATTTTTTATAGTGATACAAATATGAAACTAGTTTCTCACTACTCTATTGCAACACTGAAGTTGGGTGAAGGCATTGAATTGCACTTTTGAACTTAAATGTTGTTCATTGGCCTTTGACTACCTCAACCTTTAGTGATTTTAAAAGAGTCAACAATAGCGAATAGTTCTATGGGATCTTGAACGTCCAGCTCAACAGGCTGTTGGAACTTCGATTGAATGTCATCCAAAGGATGGCATCTCTGACTATGCTTTGCTGCCCTAGTACTGCACTGAAGTATCATCCTTAACTATGAGCTCAAGTCCTCATGCGAGGCTTGAATCCACAGCTTTTTGAGCCAGAGGGTGAGAATAACAATTGAGCCGAGTATATTATATTGTGACATTCCACTCCAGTGATATCATAGGGAGTGTTAATTCATTCAGTAGATGCTTGCTGTAAATAGCACTCGCTGTGTATCATTGTAACAGAGCAAAAGCAAAGGACAAGAATATTCCATGTTTTGTCCTACTGCTAAATTGAATCCAATAATTGTGAATTGTATTGATGATCTGGAGTAGTGTTTTATTATTTTTGGCCTATTCATGACGTTTAGGGACAACTCAAATTCTCTGCAAATGAAACGGTAGAAGTTACTCATTGAAGGACATAATTCCTCTGAAGAATGAGCACTTAATATTGGGCTGATATTGTAATTAAGTGGTGGACATATTTACATGGGTGTGAGAGAAATAGGTACACTGTGACTATGTGACCAGCTTGATCGATGTCTGCATTGCTCAACTGGGTTTAACAACAACAACAGCAGCAACTTGCATTTAAATGGCGTTCTTCAAGCAGGATAGTGTCTCGTACTTATCAAATACTGTATCATATAAACAAGTGACTGCAAGAGTTTGTCAGGCATTACACTCTTGTGGAACCCACTCATCTTAGACCTTTTAGTTTGTAAAAAAATGTTTTAGATGCAATCCTTTAATAATGAGCCTTGAACAAAGATTTTATTGACTTCTTGCCTCAACAGTTATTAATGCAGGAATGAGAAAACACTTTTTGCAAGCCAATGATCAGCAGGACTTGGTTGAGTGGGTGAATATACTGAACAAAGCTACAAAGATCACAGTAAGTAAAGTTTATTAAAGTCTCATTGTAAATGCAGGCACTAAATCTGGGTCAGATGTAAATAAACATCTGGTCACCAGTAAGACTTTTCACATCAGTAAATTTAATTATGCCCCCATTACTTTTTTCTTTGTTGTGCTGCAACTTTGTAGTTTTTGCTTCTTTTTCTGATTACATTTTGGTTTTTTTTTAAAAAGGAAATCCTTTTTTTCCTTTTAATGGCTTTGTTCACTTGAGTCAGTTTCCTTCATCTAAATTATAAGTTTGGTTTGTGCTTTTACTAAGTCTTTGAAAGCCACATGCATAATAAAAAAACCTGCTACATGTGGGAGACATTCAAGTTGGGTGTTCATATGGATAAACTGAATTTAAACATTACATGCAACTCATGATTCCTATACATAAGGCATATATAATGAACCTTACATTTGAAAATACATCAACAACAAGATTACATTTGTATAGCGCCTTTCACATCGGGAGGACGTCCCAAGGTGCTATGAAATTTGGCTGTTTGCAAAATTACTTTTCAACTAACATTCTCAAAGTCAAATGTTATGTTTCCCTTCGGTTCATGGATCAGTTTTCTAAAAAAAACCTGCAAAAGTTGTCATTTTGTACGGTCTGTTAAAATATAGTATTCTCAAACAAATGCATGGGTAAAGGTTTCCTTTAAATTGGATGCTTTTCACATGGAGGGAAATGTGTGAGTGGGTCGTTTCAGCTGAGACATCTGCTTTATTATTTGTTTTTTGACCTCATGTGTATTAGCCATGGACATGAAAGTTTTAATGTTACCAATGATGTATGTATAAAGACTTATTTTATCCTTTTCGAGTGAAAGAGGGTATCCATAATCCAGATAATATGACAACTAATGAATGGCTGTGTCTCATCCTAACGACATCTAGTCAAATTTAGGCTTATTATAATAATACTTGTCCAAATGTATTTTTTTCATACACTCATGAAATGATCAAGAGATCGCATTATCTTTCCAGTTCCTATTTTTAGGAAATCTGTCTTGTAAAGATGTTGCAAGATCTGGGTGCTGCAAAGAGCTGAAATACTCTTTTGGATTTAAATCTGACGTAAAACACAAAATTTATGGTGGTTACACTGATATTAGAACTATAAATCAAAATTGACACATCCTTTTGTCCTTAAAAATAATGGCTTTATTTTTTTTCGCATAGGGAGAATAGAGGCATACTGTTTCAGCCAAGAAGAAATCTCCTCTAGTACACTGAATTAAAATTCTGTTGAGCAGTATCTTTGTTCCCTTTGTGTGAGTCAAATGATTAGTTTTAAATCCACAGCACTCACACAGCATGATTAGATTTTCAGGCAGCCTCTGTTTTCTTTTAAATAAAATGTTGAAAGTTCATCACCTTAGGTGAAAGAAGATGATCAGCTTCTACAACAAGTTTCATCTTAGGATGGTATTGAGGAGGGTTCTTAAGCGTCCGATTTCTCAGTAAGTTCTGAAGCAGATATAATAGGCAAATCAAGTAAAGCCAAACTCTATAGAAAAAAAACCTACATGTGAAATGGATGGTTTCAGTTGGGTATGGTGTATGGTGCTTCTGTTAACTCGAGAATAATTTTGACCCAGATTCTCAGAAACTTGAAGTATTATAGACACATAATACACATCCCCCCCATCCCTAAGTATTATTTTTTGCTCAGACATCAAAGAGCTTAGTTCTTAATAGCATCTGATGCCCCCTTATTAAAATATAGTGCCTATCTCAGGATTAATAAAAGCAGACATTTTAGTAACGTTTCTAAAGCCTAAATCATTTACTCTTTTGGCATTTAAGTTAATAATGTGGTTTTATGCTGATTTTAGCAGCCCTTTTCTGTTTGTCCAGGGAAAATGCTGTGCTACTATGCCTTACTATCTTTCTGTTTCCTGAGCAGTTTTTTGGCTCCCGTAACAAATTGTTGGCTAAATTACAACAGGATAAAGAAAATGTTAGTTAAAAGCACCAGTCATTGACTTAAAAATCGAGTAGGCTTTGTATTCACTATTGTTTACAGATAGCATCATGCTGCTCATACTTGCCGTGAGCTTATTTTAAAATTAACTGTAGCTTCTAAAAATGTTCTCTTGCATTTCCCTTTCTGTGACACTTATATGTCACTTTTATATTGGTGTTGTCAAGATTGCATAAAACCGTAAATGTAAAACTATTTGCCTGGACAATACATTTAGACTACCTGAACACATTATCGCGATTAAAGATGACTTTCGCTTGAAATTTGCAAGTTTAAATTATGGGTCAGTGGTTTCATATGCCTATTGGGACCAAACATTGGCTCATGCTCAACTCTTTCATGCAGCTGGGTTTAATCATTTTGAGTCTGGACCATGACCTGTGCTGGGAAAAATGTGAGCTTCTCCGTGGAAACTATGCCTCCCATTGGTATTGCCACAGAGAAACAATGATAAAGGAATTTGATGTACAATAATTTAGTGCCTTCTTAACTCGGACAGTTGGGGAAAGAATGTGTGGACAAACATAACTTGACGAAAAGGTATATAAAAAAATGCTTCAAGGAGAAATCAATTAATTTTTTTAAAAAAAAGTGCAAGCTTATTTCCTGTTCTTTTGTGCGATTTTATATGCAAAATTTGGTGCATTAATGGAGTATGATTCACTGTGTGTGTCCTTATTGCTGCTAATGTCAAACATATTGGCCTGGAAATAGCATGGCAGAAGTTGCATTGTTATAAAATTGCTTTGTAAGAATACTTTCTTCTGTAAGAAAAAATTGAAACCAAAAATCTTAATTCAGGTGTATTTGGGAAACTAATGGACAGTGATAATTTTTTTAAGAGGACTGTATTCCCNTTTTTTTTCAACGGAAAAATCTTGCTGAATAGAATTTTCTTCCCAGCCGCAAAGAACATTGTAATTCGTTTAAATATTTTAACCGAGCAATAAGAATCCAGACTTTTCTTATTCTGTACATTAAGAATGTCTTGTCATTTGTAATTTGAAGAATGAAATGAAATATATTAGTGTTTGGTGTATAAAAACTACAAATGAACTGGAAAACTGTCTGATCAGAATTCACTGTAACGGATAATTTCCGGATAATGGGAATTGAGTTTGTTATATGGTACAGTAAATAATTTGGTGGGGGGAAGCTTTTGTTATTTTCTGTCATGAGCACGTGTTCGTGTTAGCAAATCACTTTAACATATAAGATTTTAGTCTAAATTTTGGTTTGCGATTAGTGTTTGTACTGAAGTACTAAATGAAGCTCATTTAAAAATATGATTGAATTAGTAGTTTTGTGTCAGCAGTCTTTTCAAAAACATCCATAAATAGAGCTCACCATTAGTTGCTGTGCTACCAGTTCATTGTTTGCTGCTTCCTGTTGAAGCTTGTGCAAAACTCTCAGTGCATGGGATTAGAGGTTGCATATCCATCCAGAATATTTGAAAATGCCCTGAGAGACACTTATTTATTAAGCAAGGCTTAGTTCTTTAAGGATCTGGATAGCCTTGGTACATAATTCCTAAAATATGCATACATAATATAAAAACTTAGTCATTAAAATGCTTATTACTTATGTAATATGATATACATACCTTAAATATTTGTTTTAAAACAGGTACCCAAACAATCAGACGTTCTGCTGAATACAGATAACCAAAGTTGCCATGCGGAGGGGCAGTGTGCAAGGAAGCCAGGACCATACAAAACTGAAATTATTGGAGGTGTTCCCATTATTACACAGACTTGTCAGGTGAATGTACAAATAATCTGCGGGGAAATGTAAGAGTTAAGTGCTGTGGCGGGTAATTTCCTCCTGTTGATGTGTAATGTTTTTTGAGTCAAAATCGCTTGTTCAAACATCTGGATTTCTGAAAGATGCGAATTTCATTTGAGTAGTCAATATGGCCCAAGGGTGGCAAACAGTAAAATAACCATTTTGAAAACTTCAGTGTGAAGCTCTTAATGGACTTCAGTTAAACAATTACTAAGATTATTATTTGGCACAATAAAGAAAATAACCCAGATGTGGGTTTAATGCTGTCCAGTAAGATTCACAAGTTTGGGTAAAAGTAGAATGGAGTTTTTGCATTGAATTTAAAAACATTTTAAAATTAATTTGACTTCCAATTTTATTACGATTCTTGTAAGTAAGCTTTTATAGGGTTTAAATTGTATGTTGTAATGAAATACATGTAAAAACTGTATGGAACACTTCATTCATTGTTACTGTAAATAATTCCAGTATTACTCAAAATGCTGCAAGTATAATTTTAAGTTCCTAGTAGATTGGTACTGAAACATCATGTAAGAACTTCTCAGAAATTGCCCTGATCATATTAGTAGTTTAATAACAGTGGAAATGTTGCCCATTATCACAGTTTCCATCATAGCTTTACTATGTCACATTATGGTTTCATATTGTGGTATTCAAGGAATATGTATTTTGAAATCAATATTTTGATTTATAAAGTTAATATTTGAAAATAACAAAAGTATTTCCTGATGAGGTGCTGACTAACCTCTGTACTTGTGTTAACATGTCTAGACTGCAATTTATTCAAGCCATTATAGTCCAGAGTGTTGTTGGATTCAGTCGACCAAATTTTGGTAAACTATTAAAGTATAGGTGTTGTGTCTAAACTGGTTGTTTCCAACCAACAATCAAAAGTCTGGAAAGTCTGATATATGTGCATGGCTATATTCGGTTTGATTATTGGGTGTCTGTAATACACGTTGTTTTTCTTTCAACAGGAGGGGCATGAAAATCTGGATGGAAATGAGAAAAGCAACTTGAAACGCTCCCAAAGCCAACTAGCTTATTTTATTGGCAAACCTGCATCTGACCTGGCAGTCATTAAAAGTGGCTACTGCGTTAAACAAGGAGCAGTGGTGAGTAACGGCAGAGTGGAAAATACTGACCCTGTTAAGAATGGCAATCTAATTAAAATCAATTTTACTACCTGCTTAGGAGAAGTACAGAGGGGCTGTCGCATTGGATCATTTTTTTCTCTTTAGGTTCTCGTTGCTCATTTGGCATTTATCTCTTCTTGAACTAATTTAAAGATTGGGGTTCTGACTTTTCCAATACATAGTTAAACTTTTAACTGTTTTTCTTGTTCTTAAGATGAGGGATGTGAATACCAGGATATGTATATTCACAATAATTTTGGGGTACCAAGTGCCAGAATCCAGCAAGCCTAGATCACGTATAGCACAGCCAGATACAAGCAAAGATTTCCATATTCTACATGAAATATGTGCAAGAAAGGACTTAGAAAAGTCCCAATTTATGCTCAGTTGTGATTAGTTTATTTATGAGCATGGATTCATTTCTTTCACTCTGTCTTCACTTTGAGTTGTATTTTAGTTTTACTTTTTGATGTGCTGAGTAATAAGTTGGAATGGCATCGTAAATGCTGCACTATTTTGATGCAGGAATGCATTGACTTTGAAAGACATGTCCATGGTGAACTGTTAACCAATTTGGACAAGTTAGGTTTACTGCAAGCCCAGGTCAGATGTAGATTCAAAGTAACTGAGTACACAATTCACTGATTGTCTTAAAAGAATTGCAAGTGATAATTCAATCTAGCAAGGCTATAACGTCAGACCAATTAATAATAAATTTATAAAATCTAAATGAAGATTTCTGTAATTTCATTCCTTCCACTTTTCAATGTCAACATTTATTTTTGCAGATGAAAAACTGGAAGAGAAGATATTTCATACTGGACGAAAATTCAATAGGTTACTACAAATCTGATCTGGTAAGCCGCTTTGACATTAACTAATTTATGAACTGGCAGGAAATTACTTAATTGTCAAATTTAGCTCCTAGCTAAGAAAATTATTGCATCAGAAAATGCTTGCGTGTTTCATGTAATTTATTGCAGCTTTTGCTTACATTGACCACCTTTGGGTTTCATAAGATAGCTTCTAAAACTATAGGTGTTATGGCAAACATTTCAGCAGTTTGTATAAAGAAAGATTTTCTGAATTCAGTTCTGTTTATAAGCAAAAGACAATTCAAATAATTTGCATACCAGGATTTAAAATATTTACATTTGTTGACCTCTGAAGACAGTTTACATTGTTCTAATATTTGCTCAAAATGTTAACCACAAGCCTTAGTGTTGTACACATTTAAAATGTTCTACCTCTGATGATATTTTAAACCGCTGGGAAGATGTGAATGAGTTTTTAACATTTCAGTCTAGAAAGAAGTCGACTGGGCTAAATTTTAACTCGAGTTTCAGAGACATTGAGACATCCAGTTTTTCCTCCTAAGCCTCTTCTCATACTTTTGTTGACCTTTTAGCTATCTCTTCTGTAAAGTTTACACTTTGTTAAATTATCATTGTCATCATAAATGCATCTTTTGCATTCTGTGTTCAAGGTTTCTCCTTTGAGGTCTGTGTTGCTTCATGCAGATCAACTTGTTCTTGTGAATCTGGCTCTTCCCGTTTGCATGATCTATGCACCTTGTCAAGATACCTTGTACTGCTGACGCATAATCCAGAATTGTACTTACTGTGCCAAGATCATCATGAGCGTGTAATTTGGTGGAAGAATTTTCTTCAAATATGTTCAGCTTTCTTTGATAACATAGATTACAAGCTTCAACAGGTCAAATAAGCAAAACTCCAGTTAGGTGAAGAATCAAGTACAAGTTCGGGCTGTTTTTAAAGGAATAGTCCAGCATATCTGTACTAATTGAATTGGGTGCTTTGAGTCAACAGCTTGAGGGGGAATTGTAGCAGCTTGTTCCCTTAATATGACTAGCATCTCTACTCTAGTTATTTGGGTGCTTACCTTGTTTCTTTAATTTGTGTCACTGAAATAGTGACAGTTGATAGTTAATACAAAAGTGCTGAATGAAAGAAGGCTTAATGAGAGCAGTGCTGGCACTTCCTGCTGCCGCTCAATTCAGAATGGCTTTGGTCATTGTATTGTTGGACTCTGAATTAGAGGTACTGAGCTAGATATTATCCCCGTAACAGAGTTGTTTGCATATCTAGTTTACTCAGAGAGTATGATTCAGGTAGTAAACTCATGCTGGGCCATTCCTTAACGGAGCCCCAACTTGTACTCCATTCTCTACCTGTCCTCAAACTCTGCTGCATTGACATGCTAGAACTTGAGACTTCTAAGGAATCCATTACATTGAATTTCCCAGAACTTAAGGTGGCGAAGTATACGAGGAGCCTTTTCCTCATAACAATCCTAAGTAAAAGAATTGATGTCCTCTTAAGACGTGGGTAATTCAGCATTGCACGTGACTGGACTTGCACAGAAAATGCCTCACCATCCTCACTGGAACCAAATCTGATCAATGCACTTTTCCTGATTCATTTGATCACAAGATTTTTGTAAGCTAAGACTTAAGGGTAATCCTTCTCAATAGTTCATTGATCTTTAGAAGCACAATTTACTTGAGGTGTAGCATACTCAAGTAATCATGGTTTAAACTCATGGCCACTATAATCTGCATATACCTCACACTTATTTACATTCCGTTCTATTGGAGGGAAAGTGATTTTGCAGGTTACTGGAATTTTACTTAGTGGTAATTTGGGACTTTTTTTATGCATTCTACTTAACAATGAGAACAGTGAAAAAGTAAAACGTGTTGCAAAAGCGGGAAAAATCATTTAGGTGACTCCATTCATTGTTTGAATTAATGGCAATTCCTGTTTAATTTATAAAATTTAACTTGGATGTATTTAAAATAGATAGGCAAATAACCAAGTTACCGCTGTGCACAGTCTGATACAATACTGTACAGACATGTTTATTATTAAGTATGAGCTATTTCTTTCCCACTTTGCACAGTGTTCATTGACCTGATGCTTTGAATTAGTTCAGCTTTGTTTGAACTTGTGAAATGTGTTATTGCAGTTGAATGATTCAGAAAAATTGCAAAATGTTCTGTGCACATTCACTCTGCTAAAAATATACAAATGACCAATCACGGCTACAACTTGAAATTTGACGGCTAAAAGATTTATGCATATTTCTGTCTTGATACATGTTCTGCCTTGGCAGCAATAATCTTGAATTTTTATTTTTGAATCTACTGGCACTCCAACTGAATTCTTACTGTTGCTACTCCTACAAATTGGCTACAAATGATTATTATTAATGATTATTTTTTTCAAGAGTTTGGGTTACGTTATCTCACAGGAATGAGCTACTAACTTGACTCCGAAGCTCACTCATTGATCTGTACTGTTTTAGGTTGTTCTGTTATCTTAGAAACTTTGTGAACATCGTAATGAAGTACCTACTTTCCAAAGCGATTTCCACATTGCTTGGAATTAAAATATTCAAACTTACTTCAATCGTATTTTAATTTAAAACGACTCTGAGAAATGCTTTGGAAAATGAAAATAGGCACTGCAACCTCGTGGTTTGCAGATTTTTCAAGACAACAGCAACCTGTGGTGGGGCTTGGAATCAGCAGCCTTGCTGTTTCCCTGATGAAGACACGGGCACTAACTCTTTTAAAAAAAGAGCTACTAATTGTATGATACAATTCGAGAAATCCATCTCACAAATCTTTCTTGCAAGATCATGTAATCTGCTTTGCACAATTTACTGAATCAAGATGCTATCTAACCGCTTCCTGCTTTAAACACTATGAGGTGCACCTATTTTTATGGAACCTCTATTGAGTTATTAAAATAATTGTAGATTTTGATTGAGATGCACAAGTACTTGCTTGACATTACACATATGTAAAAAGCGGTCTTCAGATTTAGTTCAACATTTCTCTGTATGCAGATAATTGCGTAGATGCCTTAGCTGAAAGGTTTTTCTTTTATAAAATATGGAATGTTTTTTTTTGCAGGATAAGGAACCACTTCGCACAATACCACTTAAAGAAGTTAATAAAGTTCAGGAGTGTAAACAAAGGTTAGATTTGATTCTTTGCTTTAGACTAGGAACAAAACCAGTTGTTAACTCCATACCTTCACATGACTTTATTCATCTAAATCGTTTAGTGCTCCATATTCTGCTTGGTAAATTTAGTATTTCTGTCCTTATTCTAGACATAAATAAGATTCATTGTAAGTTTCATTTGGAGTCCTGTAGCTCAGTGGTTAGAGCACTCATCTCTCAATCGAGAGACCCTTAGTTCGATTCCCGGCAGGACAAAATATTCAGCAAGTTTACTTACTGCACATACCTCTCTTTACCGAGCAGTAAATAGGAACCCGGTTGTTAGTCGATTGGCGGATCGCTTTTCCAGAGGTAAAGATTCTTTCAAAAAAATAATAATAAATTGGTCACTGCAGTCCATGATTGTTTGTGGGACACTGCTGTGCGCAATTGGCTGCCGCATTTCGCCCGCTAAATATACAGTCAATTCAGTTCACAGTATATTCTGTGAAGCGTTTTGAGACATCTCGAATACGTGAAATACAAACATTATTATTATAAGTCATTTTGGGGGTGGTGTACCCATATGGAAGCAAAATCTGAATCCTGTTAATCTTGCAGTGGTAAGCGATAACCACTTGTTTGCAGCAAATACTTTGAATTGATTTGTATTCACTGATTTGCTGTTGATGCTGCTGTGTCGCAAAGTTTGTTCATGTAGTTTAATGTCTTCTGTTTCTGAATTTCACCTGATCTGGTTAGGTAACAGGAATGTTGCTTCTCAGGAAAGAAGGGGAATTGATCAGAGATAGCACAAACATAACTCGGGTGTTAGCCTGGTTCAGTTGGTTGCACTCTTGCCTTTGAATCAGAAGATTATGGGTTCAAGCCCCACATCAGGACATTTAGTTCCAGGCTGACATTCCAGTGCAGTGCTGGGGATGTGCTATATTGTTGGAAGTGCCATCTTTTGGCACTATTCGAAAAGAGAAGGGAATTTCTCCTATAGTCCTGGCCAACAACAACAACAAGATTCCATTTATAGAGCGCCTTTCACGTCGGGAGGACGTCCCAAGGCACTGTGAATCAGTGATTCAGATAAAAATTGGCATTCACTGCATAGCTGTTTGTTGTGCAGAAATTGCCGGTTGCCTATAAAATAGTCACTACACCTGAGTCAAATCCGGTGAAGCACTTTGAGACGTTTTCATGACACAATGAGGCAGTATACCAAATGCTAGGATTATTATCTCTCAATAGGCAGTTAAAGTAGGATTTGTAGCTGCTGGGAGCAGGTAATTTTCACTACTTTTTCAGGGAAGAGACATTGTATAAAGGAATCAATCAGAACATTATTTGATCATAATACTTTGCGTTACAGAGATATTCTGCTGAGAGACAACCTGTTTGAAATTGTTACTAATTTTAGGACATTTTATGTGCAGGTAAGCATTTTTTTTTGCACTGGGTAGAATTAAGAGTATTTACGGTTGATTAATGTTTCAAAATCTATTTGAGCTGTTTTATTAAAGTTGGACAGTCATCATTTTGGGGTTTGAAATTACTAAACACATTTGAATTAGCAGACAAAATCCAATGATTTGTTTTGAAGCCCCTATCCTGGGGTTGCAGGTTATTGTGATAATGATTGTGTTGAAGACAACCCAAAGTGGCACATAGCCAAGAGATGCTTATTGCATTTTCATGGTGTTGGAGGAAAAGAGCTAGATACAACCCTACTTCAATCTCTATTTCAGAAAACTGAGCAAACTTCTCAAAACACTAAATTAAAATGCTAATCAGGCAAGTCACTCCATCAATCTGCTCGTCTTGTTGTTCATCACAAAAAGAACATGTCATTTGAATGAATAAACCACAGTTGAAGTGGCCATCTGTAAATTAAAATTTGAATTTCCAAGTTGTATTTGAGCATTTGGTACTTGACACCATAAGGTATCATACAAGTTCACCCTTTTTTTATAATAATAATCCCTTCTAAAATAATAATGATTTGGTTACTCAATCCATGACTATGTGGGACACTGTTGTGCACAATTGGCTGCCACATTTCACCCACAAAATATACAGTCAATTCACTTTACAGTATGTGAAACGTGATAAAGTGCTCGGATTATTGTATTATTTTAGAGGAAGTTATCTTTGTTGTTGTTTGTTTGAGTTTGTTGCTTCCTCGCTACTGGCCTGGAAAGCATTTCTAGCTTTTTTTCTCCCCCCCACTCCCGCCCCTCAACCCCTGCCTATCAAAGGAAAACGTATCCTTGATATTTAATACTTATAATACTTAGATAGGTCCACGATTGAATTGTGGCAGAAATTAAACTTTATTCAAACCAGTTTTCAGTTAACATATCTGTCAAAAGACCATTTTTGCGATATACAGAAACCTTACATGTCTTTCTTGGCCCGAGGTGGGTTGCATCAAGTCTATTCCTATCCCAAGAAGCGGTGGGCGGTGAACGTTTGTGCAGTCGTCAATGACACTTATGCTTGTTGTGTTTCGGTAGTCACCATTACAAAAATCCTTTCTTGCGTCATTGTGTGGGAAGTGCGCACAAAGATCCTACCCCGATTCTATTTAATTTGCTGTGTAAAGACATTTAAGTATTCAAAAAGGATAGCTATACATAATGATTGTGTACTTTTATTGAGTTCTCAGTATAATGTAGGTGTTTTTGATCCATAACGTATCTCTTGTGATTCTTTGTGTTTCAGGCTGATAGCCCTGAAGATATGCACAACTGGATCAAGGCAATATCTGGGGCAATAGTAGCACAGCGAGGCCCTGGCAGATCAGCAGCGTCTGTATGTTCATACATTACAATTTGTACAAAATATTCAAAATATCACTAGTATTAGCAAAGGTCTTCTGTTCGTTTGTTGAGCTGATTCTTTTTATTTCAAGGTGATTTCCCACTCTTTGCCCACTTCCAAAAGTATGGTGCTAGCCTTTTTTATATAGTTGATTAGTTTGTCTTTCATTCTGTTTTCAGAAAGAGTGCATTAGAGCTCAGCAAGGCAAAAGTCAGCAAATCCCCTTTGTTTGATTTGTGCATAATTTATTTTATCTTTGAAATTTTTGGGGAGGGCAAGTTTGCAGGGCTATGGGGAGAGCGCGGGGGAGTGGGATTGATTTGGATAGCCCTTTTCGAAGAACTGGCACAGACATGATAGGGCCAAATGACGACCTCCTGTGCTGTATAATTCTATGATTCTACAAAATCTTAATATTTGTTAGTTTTATTTTAATTTGAAAAAAACAAATTAAAAAGGTCTTGGCTAAGATACTTCAAGCAGAATTTAAATCCAAAACATGTGTAAAATGGCAAATGTTAAGATTTAGATAACTGAATAGAATAAGCCTTCAGATAGTTTATTTTGCATGGGTATATGTAGAAATACTGTATAAAAATTATACAGTACTACAATATTAATTCTCTCCTTGCTGCTACAAAGTACAGTATGTTAAACATGCTTTTCATAAGAATTATACAGTACTACAACATTATAATAATTTATCGGTTCGTTATTATTTCAGTATGCATTCCAAATAATTCATTTGTTTATGTTATTAACTTTTTAATTAAAATGGTTGTAGTTGCTAAAGATTTTTTTTGTGAGTTAGTTTCTTTTGCAGGTTTGTTTTCTGCAGATAAACTCTGCTGTATGTGGATCGCAGTATTTCTTCCTATTAATCCTTCTTTATTCAGGGTAGCTTTCTTGGTTATACTCTCCTCACCAGATCACACAGTCATGTTTCTGGGATTACTAATCAATTTGCAGATTCCAAAACCAATCACATTCAGATATCCCAAGTTTAGAGGATCAAAATTTAGTTACAGAAATGGTGAATTTCAGCATGATGGAACCAGGAATTACAGTATGTTGGTTTAATTGAAAACGTCTTCACAAATCAAACATTTGACTGTGTTTTCTATTCTCTGCTCTCTTATAAATGTAGGATACTCTAATCTGAGCTTTGCACTGTGTTCTTCAGATGCGGCAGGCCAGAAGGCTGTCGAATCCTTGTATACAGAGGTATACATCAAGAACTGGTGAATGCAGCACGTATGTGAGCTCTCATGTAAAGCAAGCTTTATTAAGGAGGATTAGAATCTAGCAGTTGATTGTGCTAGAGNTTTTTTAATACTAAAGCTAGTGTACAATAATGGATTAATCCATTGGTTGAACTGCTGATTTATGATCACCAATTTAAACTAATACATTATTCCTGCTGAATAAAGCAGCATAATATTAACTCTCCTTGCTGCTACAAAGTACAGTGATTAAAACACTTTTCCTATTGATTTGAAATCCATGTAATTCATTTGTACCATAACGTTCTTTCCTAATGTGTGTCACAAGTAGAACAAGGAATAAGCTGCAAATTTGATCATTGAAATTTGATTTTGTGATTCTGTGGCCTAGTAACTGTTGGCTTGTTATAGTGAGGCTGCCTTCATTTTCTCAAGACAGTATTCATCTTCAGGAGGTCTACAGTGATGATGGGGAGATGAAGGCAAATGGAGGGAGATGATTTACTTTACATCCTAAACAAATAGGAAAATTTGCAGTAGATTGAGAGTTGACTATGTGTCAGTATCTTGCATCCTGAACACTAATGGATAGTGTAGGTAAAAAACAAAGTTGGTGATGTATACAAAGGCAAAGTTAAATATTGTTTTACTTTTTAGGGACGCGTAGTTCATGGCACAACGAAGAAAATGATTCATTCCTTAACTTATCATCCTCCATGGTGTTTTTACCATTTTGATTATTTGCATGAGAGTTCATATTTCCTCATTTTTATTTATGGCACAAGCTGACCTTTTAAATTTGTTCAAGCAATGACCGTGTTAATGCTTTGCTAACACTTACAAAAGATTGATTACCGGTTGATATAACCACAATCTCTTCATTTTTCTGCATGTAAGCTCTTTCCTGGAGTGTATGAATGTTTGAAGCATGTCGACATTTAACGTTAAAAATAGCAGTTGCATTGCATGTGCAAACTTGTGTGTGAGTAGACTTGTGTGTGTATGAGTGTGTGTAGGCATTCTATCTTCATGCAAATCTGAACGAGCATAAACTTGGTAACCATTTTTAATTTACTAAAGGTTTGTATTTTATTTACAGGTGTTTAGAAAGCCCACAATAATTTTATAGAGAAGAATGTAATGTTTTGAATGACCTATCAGTAATGTTGTGATTTCAGGTAGCATGATTTAAAATCATCATGTTTTTATACAAGTTGTTTTATATGATCTGATGACTTTTAAGGTACCAAATATTTAAGGTTTGCTTTTGTTTCCATTGCTCATTGATGTCTTGGATATTGTGCTATCTGGATGACTGACTTATTCATATGTTTACTGCAAAACTGTGCCATATACTGTGATCGCTAACATTTAATACCAACTAAACCCATATGTTTTTTTTACGACACAAGTGCTAATGTGAAAGATGTTTATTTACGATACGATCGCCACAATGTAGCAGTCAAATTGTTTTACGCAGTCTTAATGCCCATTATTTTGGTAACTTAAATCTGTCTTGTTGAACTTGCAAGCACATTGTTGCTTTTGTGGTTCAACAAAGTTCACAAAAAAATGGCATATTGCTTTATTTATAAGAAAACATTTTAAGTGTACTTTCCAGTTATGAAATAACCACTTTCAATACTTGCTCTTGCATTTAATGTTAATGCTTGCATATGTTTCAGAACTTTATGGGCGATGGTCCCCCTTTTTTAAAAAAAATGAAATTAAAAATATTTGTAACATGCTATTTGAAATGCATTATAAATACATAATTTTCTGATTTTTGTAAGCCTAGTTTGTGTTACTTGTGTAACGTAGTTTGGTTGTATTGTCCAACTGCAAATACAAAATTATGTTGAGTTTTCTGCACACCAGTTTGGAAATCTGTTACCAAAACAAACTCAGTTCATTACAAAATGCTGCTATCTAAAGATTCTAAGTTTGGTACGCAAAGGTATCCTTGCTATTTTTCTTTGCTTCGTTTTGTAGTAAATAAATAATCAGCGAGTGAGCATAGGGAATAAACCAGCAGTACTGTATATCATTCATGATTTTCCAGTAGCGTGCGACCATTACATTCTCTTTTGGCTTTTATGTTGTGCTGTGTTGCTTTCTGTGCCTTTAGAATTGTCTGCTGACCTCACAAACTATAGCAATTTGTGGTAAAGTAAATTTGAAGTTTTACTGCAAGTCAGTTTTTATATATATTTTTAATGCTTTAACAGCTCTCATTGCTTATAAGGTTGCTTTCCAATAATTTTCTACTTTTTGTTAGTGCTCGTGCTTGTTCATGCCTATGAATTTATAAAATACATGATGCATTGCTGTCGTCCCTGGCAAATAACTTGTACAACGCTTCCCACAAAACAAAGAGGAATGTGTATTATTATTATGTTCTGATAGCTTAGAAATGCCGCCATGAACAATAATTGAGAGGTTTGTTAGAAGTGGAAAACCAAATATTGAATGATTCATCTATGCGTGTCTGTAAGGTGATGTGATGGGGTCATTAAAAAAGAAAAGTTTTTGTATGAAACGGATTTGTTTCTTATACATCTTGTAAATCCTTACTGTGAAACATTAGTGTAAAATGTATGTTTATTCAAGTGGTCAGAATATTTGGTTGAATGGTCTATATTTAAAACTTGATGGATTTCAGCAAGCAATTCTGAAAAATTCTCAAAAGCATAAAGGGTGAGTCTAGAGGGGAAACAACTATATAAAAGTTTATTAAGTGGTGAAACATAACTTCAACCATTGGAGCTGATTTAATTACAAAATTTAAAAGGGAATTAGATAAACATTTGAACAATTAAGATATAAAACAAAATGGAAAAGAGCAGGGATGTCTAAAATGACTCCAGTTGGGGAAGGTAACTTGTCACACGCATAATGGGCTTAATGGCAGCCTTTTGCAATGAACTTTCAGTCTAATTTGAAAGGTTACAGCTGCCAGCTAATTACACAACTTGGGATTAATTTGCAGTTATTGAATTAATTACAGGGCAACTCATTTTTGTGCCCTGGCTGCCTTTGCAATTTTATAAATCGCCTTGATTTTGCTTTTCTTTATAACAATTGGGTTCTCATCAGGCAGATCTACAACCATCCAGCATGTCTCCTGATGTTCAGTATTTCAGGATCAAGTGCCCTCCTTTGCTGCATAATGCTCCCTAAAATGCTTTGCTTCTCGTGCAACAATGTACGCTTATTAATGTCATTGCTGGTGCTTTGCTTTATGTGTTTCTTTCCTGCTTTTGTTTTGCAGAGAGTAAAATCTGATTCTGAAATAGTGACATGCCACTAATGACCTTGTGTGTCTGACCAACACTCCTCTTTACAGGAGCCTTCTGACCCATCCACAGCAGAATGCAGTACTATCTCATCTTCCTCAGCGACAGCAGCCAGCTATAATCCCCTCTTTGCAGCAGCCAGCTTCACTCCAGGCCCAGTCCTCAAACCCCCACGTGACGAGGAGAAGCGAGGACTTCAGGAGCCTTCTACCGTGGCTCAGCCAGGGCAGCACAAGGTCGAGGCTCTCTCTACCAGAAAACCAGCTTCCAAAATGATGCAGGAAGCTACTCCAGTCTCCCAAAGTAAAAATGGCCTGAAGGAGACTTATCCTGCTCCTGTGGATCTAGATGATGCCAGTCTTCCTGTCAGTGACATTTGAGTAAAACTCCCAACTGTCTAATAGTGACGCACATTGCTAGGAAATGATAGGAAGGGGATAGTTCTGTTCTCAGAAACTAAACTTGACTTAAAGATTCACCTCATTTGTCTCCATAGTGATGTGCATCTGCTGAGATCTCTCGGTGGCAGATTCCATGTTATTAGCACTCATGGAGAAATACGGATTGGTTGGTGTTATTTGTATGGCTTTGTTAGGTTTTTAAAAAAAAGAAAAGTTGTGCCTAAAGAACAGTATGTGTACCTTCCTGGTCCAAAGATGCTGCACCTTGTCATTAAATGTATGGATTATTCTTTTGTATATTTAGGTTAATAAATTAGGATTTCCATTGTGAGAATCTTACACCGTGTTTTTCCCAGCCTTGACAGTTCCGGGGTTGTACTGTGTATAATCTTTGACATTTGGCCTGTGTGTTTTATGCACAAAATTACCATAGAGCTTTAAGTGCCTGTCTGTACACTCTGTAAAACAAGTTATTGTGGTTTGTATAGATATTTGATCACATATATTGCAAAACATTACACATTTTATACCTACGTTCGTAAGCTTTTGAGGTGAACCAATGGAGAAAGAAATTGTACTAACTTGTTTAATTCGATAAAATTCAAGTTCAGATTGATAAGGATGTATCTGTTTAATACTTTTGAATAGTTTCCTGTGCAATACTTATTTCAATAATTGCAAATGATGAAAGATATCGAACATTTTTGATACTGTCATTGGGTATTGTATCTTTAGTTTTTTTTAAAGTATGTACATGTATGTATGTGTGGGTATATATATATACTACATGTACAAAGATGTACATACACACTTCCTGATAGGATAAAAGATATGAGTGTTTATTTTACCGGTTGTGCACCTACCAAATATATTTCACTCTAGACTTTGACAATTACCGCTATAGAGCCATTTAACTCAATTGATTTAGGATTCAGAGTCACTGGAATAACTGGAATGCTTTGAAGGGAATCCTAGTTTAAATACAATTGTGAGATTGAGACATTTTTCACTTGCGGTAGAAACATGGTGGTCATTTGTGGAAATGAGTATTGTAATGCACCTATCAATGGTATTTAATCTGCAATTATGGGAATTAAAGGGCATTGACACCTAATTGAATACCTGCATTTTTATCTCTGGTTAAATTCAATTCTGCATAGTTTTTAGCCTGCAGGAAGTACTTATGACTGACTTCCCTCTGAATTTCTGGATCTGAAATTTAATGATAGTATATAATAGTTGGCATTAATTTTAATTATTAACATAAACCTAGTTTTTGTATGGAATTTGGTAACTTTTCTACTTTTATAACTATCTCCCACCAATATTCTTGTTTGTACCAAGTATGGATTATATATCTGGATAGCAACTTATTGGGCCCAGTGGCTTTTGATAATTGACTACCATTTATTTACTCTAGTTTTTAACAAAGTACACAAGTAATTTTTTTTTGTCCAACAGTAGTCTCTGGCTACTTACATGGAAATGCTCAGAATTTTAATGTTTGCAGCTATCTTCGGAAGTTCAGCTGAGCATCATTGAACTAACAGAGTGAAATTTGTTTGAGGGATGCTCTACATATAAGGAAAATGTTTACTGATGTGAGTATGTTCTTACATAACAACTTAATATTTAAGTGTTCGGGGTGGGGGGGGGGGGGGGGGGGGGGGGAGAGAATCTCTTAATCCTCACATACTTTGGTTTCGATGTTGATACCTGGGGTTATCAATGTTACATCTGAACTCATTCCTGTCGAAGAATATAAGTAAAGAACTTTAATATCAACCTTTGACTTATCAATCATTCTCTGCAATTTGTAAATTTTAGAAACGTTTTGTTGTTGGCTATCTTTAGTTTGAGTTGCAGAGTGAATAGTTGAACTATTTTATCTTATTAGTGCTGTTTTATCTTAAATGGAGTTGTCAAAATGTGTGGCCCAATACAGATTTCACAGATGACCACCAATTTGCTGAGAATGAGAACTCTCAAAAAAAATCATTTTCTGAACACACTAAAGTATTTTTCCATTTCTTTTACTGTGAACCTTAATATTCATTTGTGGTTACTTTTCAAGCCACCTGTGATTTACATGTTTTTCACCAAAAGGAACAAACTTTGTAAGATAACTGGATATGTTGTATGCTTTTTTTAAAAAAAAATGTTATCTGGCCCCACTCTTCCAATTATAGGTGGAATTGGATCTTGTATGAATTGCAACGATTATTTCAGAAACCTGTGGGCGATGTCATGAGTAGAACCTATTAATATCGACATTTAGTTTAATATTTTTATTTTTGTAATTGTAAATTTGCTGAGCTTATTGGCACACTTGCTGGTACTGCTTCTGACATTGCATGTGCTACTGCTATCTATCTGTGTACTTGAATGTTCTTTGCAATTGAATGGATTGGGTGAAATTACTGATTGCATTTACACTATTTTAGGGACTATTTTCAACTACTGCTGAATTGAAGGTATCCAATATGTTGAGGTGGCAAAATATGTAGTTCTGATGATGGTTTGGTTTGCTAACAAAGCTTTTATTTATCTTTGCCGAACTTTTTATAATTCTATAAAAATGTTTAAATTATTTTTCAAGGTTACATAATGAATATTCTGAAAGATGGTTGGTCATCTGACAATAAAGGATTATGATGATGACTTAAACACCTTGTGGCTCTTCTGAATCATTTCATATAAGTGAATCGATGAACATAAGCATCTTGTTACCCTGACGTTCACATGAATATGGAAATGTTGCACCTGACTTTAAAGGCTAAAAAGTTTCAATCAAAGTGTCACACTGAAATGAGAAAGACATAGAGTTGCTTATTCTGGATGAAAGATCGAAATGGGACAAAAGGCCTCCACCCTCCTAAGTCATTCCCACACTATTTCTGTCTCGTTCTGTTTCAATTTTAAAACGTTCCCAATCTGTCCGCTCCCTCTGCTCGGCAGGCATGATCCTGTACCTTGTCCCCCACCCTACCCACTCCAGCACCGGGGGTCGGGCTTTCAAACCTTTCTGCCCCACCCTCTGGATCTCCATCCCAGAGCCTCTCTGCCTCACCTTAAAGGCCCATCTCAAGACCTTCCTCTATGACTGTGCCTTCAGTCATCCTCCCACCTCCGCTACCTTTGCCTTCCACCCTCTTGACTCCAACCCCCAACTTGGGGGCAAGGACTTCACTATCCAGCGCCTTGGAACCTTCTCTCAAAGAAAAAAGCGCTATCTAAATGCAATTTATTATTCCTCTTGATTCCCCCCCGCCCCCACACACACTAAATGTGCATTGGGACATCACTAGCTTCTTTTTCAGTAATGGATTTGTAAAGAAGGTCAAGGCTACTGTTGATACGTGATAAATGGCACTTGAGACGTTAAAGTGTTGAAATACATCACTGGTTTTGTATCTGTTGCATTCAGAAAGCAGCACTGACCTCTTGTGTTTGAGCAAGGAATGATTTGCAAAAGTAAGATCACATTCTTGAAGTGCCTTAAACTCACATGTAATATAGTTTTAACAGATTTGAGATTCAGGATTCATCACTATTTTGTTAATCCAATTGATACTTGTGATTTACCACTTTAATTGTATTTTCTTACAACCTTTGACACGGAGAGAAAAGGGAATTGAGGGACGTGGAAGAAGTTTTTCAGGAAGGGCGGAGGCTCATGTGGTGTACAAAACCCCAGAACAGATGAGTTGGGCTGAATTGTGTGTTTCCGTGCTGTAAAGCTTTATATAAAAAGCAGCTGCACATTGTCAGTCCTGCCACATTTTTCACCATTTGTTGCGGTTACCCATGAAAGTGCAGTCAAGTACAGAGTGCAGGTAGGGTTACCACAGTGCTGGGGGGTGGGTGTTGCGTTGTCGGAGGTGCCGTCCTTTGGATGAGATGCTAAACCGAGTTCCCCTCTGCCTGTTCAGATGGATGTTAAAGATCCCAAGGCACTACTCGAAAAGAGAAGGTTATTTCTCCCGGTGTCCTGGCCAACGATACCCCAAATAAAATTGGGTCACTCGCTCCATAGCTGTGCAAATTCTGGCTGCCGTGTTTTGCCCACGAAATACACGGTCTAATCCACCTTACATTCTGTCCTGTGAAATACTTTGAGACGTCTCAACGACGTGATAAGGTGCTGTAATCAAATGCAAGCATTTCTTTTTTATTTCTTTTACGTAGGCTCCAGAAACTAATGTGCGTGACCACTCATTGCACGCATTCACAGTGACACGCAGTGGCACTTACTGTGTATTGCAAAGCGGATGTCATCCTTTCATGGTTGGTAGTCATTTGAAAGTCGTGAGCAAACTATAGGTAACTGCAATCGCAGCAACTACTATTAGATGCAGTGAACTGAGGTGGGTTATTGAGGCATTGTAATTTGCTCTTCAAGGTATTGTTGATGGCAAGTATGCGAGTTAAGCCACATGCACCAATTCTGTGTGGTAATCTCTAAATGATGCTACAGATCAGATACTGCTGCAGAGTTTTGATTTAACTGTTGAAAACCAGGTGCAGAAATTGTTTTTCCAATTATTTAATAATAATCGGTAATGAATGTAATGGATTAAATGAACACGCTAGCTATTTGAGTGCTTGAACTTTGGTATACTTCAACGGAATTTATTTATTTTGCACCTGTTGCCACTTCTTTTGTAGTTTTTCAGTAGTGTTCACGCAAGTGGTGTGATTTACCTCCCATGGTGCCACCGGCACTTTTTTTTATATACAGTCTAACTTTATTAGGATTCCACACATTTGGCATTTATAATAGTGAAACCTCATTCGATGCATATTCCCTGTTGTTTCTGCATTAGCTGGTCTCTCGCCAGACAGGACAAAACTCAACAGCGACATGCGTTTATATAGCGCCATTCACATCGGGAGGATAACTCAAAGCAATTCATGTAGTTGACATGAGCTGGGGGGGGGGGGGGTGAGTATAATAATAATACTTGCATTTGATATAGCACCTTATCATGTCTTCGAGATATCTCAAAGAGCTCCACAGAATAAGGGTTTTAAAGTGAGGAGGAAGTAATGAACCTCATTGGGATACATATTGGAGTATGTATATGTATTAGTTGAACTTTGCACCAGACAGGACATGACTCAAACTGTAATTATGATAAAAAAATATTTATTAATGTGCCTGTGACAACAGTGAGTTAGTCAATCTGCTGAGCTTCTCCCACGCTGATGCCATGATCATCCCACAAAGTTAACCTTGTCAAAATCTCGTCTCGCAGTCTGGAGTTTAGTAACCCTCATTGTTGTTCAGAGAAAAACAATCTTTTCCTGTATTATTACGCAGGATTCAATAACATTTTAATTTCAAAATGAGGGCATTGAGTTTCGTTCAGCAGGTAATAGGGCTGTAGCATTAGAAATTATACAGCTGTGAACATAACTTTCAGGCAGGCGATTAAACCTACAATTACAATATAACAATAACAAAATTACATTTGTATAATGCCTTTCATGTTGGGAGGACATCCTAAGGCACTGGACAATTACAATACTAGAGACAAACCAAATCTTGAAAAATTATGCATAAAGCAATTGCTCTAAATTATGAAACTATCAGTTCTTGCTGCTAATGAATTTGTTTTAACATATGCTTTGAACAAACTGGATATTTGTAAAAAGTATACCTCAATCTAAAGATCAGGATAGTATAGCTGTACAGGAGTTTATTCAACTATAATGGGACTGAAGGCTGTCCACAGGTGAAAGTGTCAATGTTTTTCATGTCTTTCTCTGGAATAGAGCAATCAGCTTTCAAACAACTTGTGAAGAATGACTGAGTGCTTCATTTGCTTCAGGATTAAATCCCAAGATGCCCGTACGAAGCAGTTGAATGAAATTGGGAAACCTGGACATCTTAAGACAAACCGAGAAAAAGTATTTTTAGAGAAGGGACTGTATAAGATGCCATCACCTGGGTAGAAACAAACAAATTGAGTAAAAGAGATTGGTGCCTGTCCTGTGTAACCAGGGCGTGATAAGAACATTATAATAATAATCCTTGTATTTGATATAGAGCTTTTCACATCTTCTAGATGTCTCAAAGTGCTTTGTTGAATATATTGTAAAGTGAATTGA